ATTTCCAGGGTCCCTCCATGTTAAAAAGGTTGGTGCAGTGATCTTGGAGGTATAGTCTTAGCATGGACTTGAATGAGATTGATAACACAACTATCCAGCCCTCCCCCCATGCCAAGGTCCTTGGTGTCATCCTTGACTCGGACCTCACCTTTCTCCCCCACATCCAATCACTATCCAAATCATGCCGCCTCCACCTTCCTAACATCTCCAAAATAACCCCCTTCCTCACCAATGACACCGCAAAACTACTCATCCACTCACTTGTTATCTCTTGTCTTGCTTATCGCAACTCACTCCTCATTGGCTGACCTCTACACAGGCTCCTCCCTCCTTCAGTCTATCATGAATGCTGCTGCTGCTGCTGACTCATCCACCTAACCAACCGCTCAGTGTCTGCAACCCCTCTCTGCCAATCCCTACACTGGCTTCCATCCTCCAACCCCTCTCTGCCAATCCCTGCACTGGCTTCCATCCTCCACCCCTCTCTGCTGATCCCTCCACTGGCTTTCAATTGCCCAAAGGATAAAATTCAAAATATTAACAATGACTTACAAAGCCATCCACAACTCCGCCCCCGGCTATATCTCCAACCTGGTCTCAAAGTATCACCCTAACCGTCCCCTCTTCCAAAGACCTCCTGCTTTCCAGCTCCCTCGTCAACTCCTCCCATACTCGCCTCCAGGACTTCTCTAGAGTCTCCCCCATCCTATGGAACTCTTTACCCCAACCTGCCCGACTATCTCCCACTCTGACTGCCTTTAGGCGATCAATAAAGACTCATCTGTTCAGGGAAGCCTATCCCACCTCAACCTAACCGCTCAACCATCACGTTCTCAAACAATTCATCCCACACAGCTCCCTCCTCATGTATCACTTGTCTCCTCCCTTTTTAGACTGTAAGCCCTCAGGGGCGGGGCCCTCCTTACCATCTTGTCTTGAATTGTATTGTGATTGTAATGTCTTCCTTATATTGTATAGCGCTGCGCAAACTGTTGGCGCCATATAAATCCTGTATAATAATAATAATAATAATAATAATAGTAATACAGCCGAGTGATACATTGTTGTTCAGGGACTGTATTTTTAAGATTTAACTCCTGAATTTAGTGTCAGATATTTCCAGGGTCCCTCCATGTTAAAAAGGTTGGTGTTGTGACTTTGGAGGTACAGTATCAGCATGGACTTTGGACATGGATGACATGGAGATTGATAACACAACCATCCACTCCTCCCCTCATGCCAAGGTCCTAGGCGTAATCCTGGACTCGGACCTGACCTTTCCTCCCCACATCCAATCACTATCCAAATCCTGCCGCCTTCACCTTCGTAACATCTCCAAAATACGCCCCTTCCTCACCAATGACACCTCAAAGATTCTCATCCACTGCCTTGTCATCTACCGTCTTGACAATTGCAACTCCCTCCTCATTGGCCTACCACTACACAGGCTCCTCCCCCTTCAGTCTATCATGAATGCAGCTGCTAGAGTCATCAGCATGGACTTGAATGCATTTTAAGATTTCACTCCTGAATTTAGTGTGAGATATTTCCAGGGTCCCTCCATGTTAAAAATGTCGGTCTAGTGATTTTGGAGGTACAGTATCAGCATGGACTCGAATGCATTTTAAGATTTAAAGGAGAACTATGGGATCAGGGCTTTTCCCCATAGTTCTCCTTAGGGTAACGGGAGGACACAAACTAGCGTCCTCCCGTCACCCTAGGCTCAGTATACCGCGAGCTACAGCTCCCTATATACTGAGACGCCGCAGCCGGAGCGGATCCCGACATCGAGATCTGCCCAGCTGCGTGACTGACAGCTGGCTCTGCCCCCTCCCCCGTCCGTTCTGCCAGTCAGCGCTTGCGGATCGGAGCTGGGAGAGGGGAATCCAGCGATTCCCCTGTCACGGCAGAGAGCTGTGACAGGATCGGGAGGTGAGCGAATGCCGGTATGTGTTCGCTCACTTCCCGATCTACTGAGCCGACCTGTGACAGTCTCATTGTCACAGGTCGGCTAGAACTATGAGGTGAGTGAAAAGCACCCCCCCCCCCCTCATAGTTCTCCTTTAACTCCTGAATTTACTGTCACTTTAAAATGTTCATCTGAAACCCAAAATATAGATACATAAAAGAAACAATCTGACATATATAAATAAGAGGAAAGAAAAACGACTTGTTGGCTCAACACTGGAAATAGTTTGGCAAAAGAAACCTCGAGGAGTTTGATGGCCTCTAATATTTATTATCATGGCAATTACCACAGTGTATTTATAAATCACCGACCTCTCACATCTAATTATATGCATTAGCGGATATGATATATTCTATAGATACGCCGGAATAAAAATACCATTATAGTTACTTTATAGAAACGTTATTTCTCCATCTGATCAAAAAAGGAAAAATAAATAAATAATAAAGCGTTCAAAGTATCTGAATGCGGGGGAGGAGCGGACGGTCCCGGCTCTTCTGACGGTCCGTGCATCCCTTCCTCCTCTGAGATAAGGCCCAGTCTGAGCGGTCAAGGATCTCACTCTTTATATCAAGTGCCAAGGAAAGTCTGCAGACTGGGAGAGGAGGAGAGGAAGGGGGTACGAGGATGGGATTAAAGGATTTCATCACCCAGTGTTACATACAAGGTCCTATGGCAGTACTGCAGCTGCGAGATTATCTCCCCGCTCCTCCTACACGTCCTCATTCAACCACAGCCTGGGAATAACAAGAGACTGCTGCTGTGGGTGCCATGGGCCCGTAAGACTAATAATATTCATTATTTAGATGTTATTATTATTATTATACAGGATTTATAGAGCGCCAACCGGTTGCACAGCACTTTACAATATAAGGAGGACATTACAGTTAGAATACAAATCATGACAAGATGGTAAGGAGGGCCCTGCCCCTGAGAGCTTACAATCTAAAAGGGGAGGGGCGAGCGATACAAGAGGTGGTAGCTGTGTGAGGGATGAATTGGTTGAGGAAGTGATAGTTCAGCGCAGAGGTGTCCCCAGGCAGGGTCACCCGCACGTGAGCGACGTCATGACGCAAGTGCATGCGCGTAATGACGTCACGCACACTTAACTGCCGGTGGTCATCTCGGTGATGGATGCCGGCAGAGAGAGGAGGGGATGTACATCCGGCGGAATAAGGTATAAGAGGATGCGGTCATTAGCCAGTGTGAACATTGCATGCCATAACCCAGCTCAGGTCGGTGATCGGTCCGTGTCCGGACCACAGTCCTCTTCAGTTGTTGGTTGCTAGGACTGCTGGTGTCCTAGCAACCAATGACATCAGGGGTTCCTCTTCCTCTGCAGTCATTAGTTCATAGGATGCCTGGGCAGTCCTAGAAACCAATGACATCAGGGATCCTTTTCCTCTTAGTTATTGGTTCATAGGACCCCTGGGCGGTCCTAGGAACCACTGAAATCAGGGATCCTCTTCCTCTGCAGTCATTGGTTCATGGGATAGCCGGGCGGTCCTAGCAACCACTGACATCAGGGGTCCTCTTCCTCTGCAGTCATTGGTTCACAGGACTGCCAGGCGGTCCTAGCAACCACTGGCATTAGGGGTCCTCTTCCTCCACAGTCATTGGTTCATAGGATCGCTGGGTGGTCCTAGCAACCAATTACATCAGAGGGTCCTCTTCCTCTTAGTTATTGGTTCATAGGACTGCTGGACGGTCCTAGCAACCAATGACATCAGGGGTCCTCTGCAGTGATTTGTGACACCAGTGATTTCACATGTGTCCCCAACCCCAGCATTACAGGAGGACGAAAGGCCATCTCCTTCCATCCTCTCCTGCTGCTCTCAGGCCTGATGAATAGAAGGTTTGGTCACGTGCTATATGGGGACGATAAGGCTACATTCGGGGCCTGTTCACACCTACGTGCGTTAAATTGCACGGTACTGCGCATCACACCTACTGTGCGTTACAGTGCGGCAGGTGCATTGAGTTGCATGCCTACTTTTTTCAACGACACTGCAATGCACGATATTGTCCCCACCCATACATACACGCGTGCAAACATGAATCGGGTGCACCTATGTGCGAAAACGACGATTGCGCCCATCAATCACCGATAGCACTAAACTGATGAGCGGTAACAGCTTTTAAAGCGTCACCTATGGGAAATTTTGGGTATGGTAGTTTTTTGCGATTTCGCGGGTGCGTGCAATTTATAGGCTTGACATGTTGTTTGGTGTCTATTTACCCGACGTGACCCCGACTTTTAAATTTTACCAAAAAAATTGGGTAAAAATAAATGTTTTATAACATAACGTAAAAACACATTTTTTTTTCAAAACTTACAGTAATTTGTTCTTAAAGTGACATTAAATCCTCAGATTTTTTAACATAAAACAATACTGTAATGTGCACCTTACTGTAATCCATGGTTGTTTCCCTTCTCTTTGCTGCTCTTCCTTTTAAATCTGCATCTCTTGTCATGCTGGGGGAGAACTTCTGTTTTGCAGCCGACTGCCTTGTCTCTGGAATGGCTACATGGTGTCTGTGTGCAGGTTCACAACCTGAGCCAGCACTACAGGAAGAAGAGGCGCTGCAAAGGGAAGTTCTCCCCAAGCATGAGAAGACATGAGGATTTAAAAGGAAGAGCAGCAAAGAGAAGGGAAACAACCATGGATTACAGTAAGGCGCACATTGCAGTATTGGTTTATGTTAAAAAATCTGAGGGTTTAATGTCACTTTAATATAGTAAAAACTAACCCCTCCCCCTAGTGGTGATTAAATACCACCAAAAGAAAGCTCTACCTGTCCCCAAAAAGTGGTATAAAATTCATGTCAGTACAGAGTTGTGTGACGGAATAAACGTCAGTCAAAGTACCTCAGCGCTGAACACTGAAAAATGGCCTGGGCAGGAAGGGGGTGTAAACACCGCGGTCAGCAAGGGGTTAACAAGCAGTAAATGACACGTTAATAGGAGTCATCACTGACCTCTGTAGCTGCAGACACTGCGGAGTCATTCTCAGTGACGATATAAACTTACTTTTCGTAGTCTTCTTTGCAGTAAAGCTGCCGGTTGCGGTAGTAGCAGGTTCCAGAAAGGATCTGTAAACACGCCGCGCACTTCACGCAGCATTCGTGCCACAGTCGGTCGTTTACTCTCAGCAGGAAGCGGTCGGAGATGGGGTTGCTGCAGCCGGCGCACATCTCATTCACCTTTTGATCTGAAAATGATACAGGAGATATTTTTAAAAGGAGATGTAAAGTCCCAACAGATCCCATCTTGTTATACCATCAGCATTGTGATAGGAATACATGTCAGGGCCGGATTTCCCACAAGGCCAACCAAGACCCGTCCCTGGGGCAGCAGGGAGTAGAGGGGCAGCAGGGGTGTGGAATTCCTATCTCCAGATACCCGGGACATGCAGTTCCATGCGCCGAGCGGGTAGTTGTTTTCTACATGTAGACCTGATTTGGGCAAGCAGAGCTAAATGTACAGCGGGGAAGCCGCCGCTAGTTTTGTACAAGTGATCTCGGTGATGTTGCCAAGATCACTTGAATGCAGCCTGCAGATCTGCCATTCTCCATGGGGGGGGTTAGTAGGGTTGCCACCTGTCCGGGATTCACCCGGACAGTTCGGGTTTTGAATGCTGGGTCCGGGTTTCATGGCAGCTGAAACCCGGACACACAAGATGTCAGGCTGACAGGGGCAACCAAAATTAAGATAGGGGCTACTGGCCCCCCACTGAAAATAGTTTCAACTGTGATATTTACATATGAATGGGTGGCGCTATTTACATATGAATAAGCCACGACTCATTCTCCCCTAAAAATTTCCGTGTGTCACTAGAGTGTTCGGGTTTCGCTGGAAGAAAAAGGTGGCAACCCTATGGGGTAGGCGAGTACGGGGGCGCATTGAGGAGCCTGTCCTTGGGGCAGCAGAGAGTAAATCCGGCCCTGTACATAGTGGAGTTGTTTCTGATAATACAATCAAAGCTTACTAGAGAAAATCCCTTTTCTGTAGTGAGCGCCGCCTTCCATCTGCCCATCACTCCCAGCAACTTCCCGGACTCCCAGAGTGCTTTGCGTCTCTTTCCCTGCTGCTTGATGTGATGCAATCTCCATTTCTCAACACCACATATCCCATCATGCATTACTTCCACCAAGCAATGATGATTTTACATTGTTCAGACGTTGAGCTGTAGTTGAGTGGTGACACCAGGTTTGCCACCTGTCCAGGATTCTCCCGGACAGTCCGGGTTATGAATGCTGTGTCCGGGTTTCTTGGCAGCTGAAACCCGGACACATGGTGTCAGGCAGACAGGGGCAACCAAAATTAAGATGGGGCTACTGGCCCCCCCACTGAAAATAGTCTCTACTGCGATATTTACATATGAATGGGTGGAGCTATTTACATATAAATAAGCCACGACTCATTAACCCCCCAAAATATTCAGTGAGTTGCAAGAATGTTCGGGTTTCGCTGAAAGAAAAGGTGGCAACCCTCGGTGCCACCAGGAAATGCATATTCACAGGGCTGAGTGAAACGGTGTCAGGGCATCGAGGAAGTCCATCCTAGGGGCATCTTCAATAAGGAAGTTTACAATAAGGAAGTGGGATAGAAGAAAGGATAGAGTTAACCCACGGGGTGGGCCAATTCCGGCCCTCCAGCTGTGGCGAAACTACAAGTCCCAGGAGGCATTGCAAGATTCTCACAGTCACAGGCATGACTCCCAGAGACAGATGCATCGTGTGATTTGTAGTTTTAGCACAGCTGGAGGGCCGGAGTTTGCCCATCCCCTGGTTTAGCCCAATGTATGCATCCTAAGTGGTGCAGAGGGGGCAAATTAATGCTGCCGGACCCATGAGTTCCAGGTGCCCATCCAATGCACAATACAACTATTCATCCCTATTAGGAAAGCAGATCAGCTTTGTGAAATAACTGAAATATATAAAACATGAAGAAGGTTATTGGTCTAATCCTTCGCCCCGCTTCGGCTGCAGAAACCCTCTCAATGGCGCAATCAGCAGCCGCAGTAAACAGCCGAATGCAGCCGAGCAGAACAAACAGCCGGAGGGGGGAGAATGGCCCACCAAAGCCGACCGAATCCCTGAAAGTTGGTCAAAAATAGAATTTAAAAAACAGCGTGGGGGTTCCCCTCCCCAATTCATACCAGACCCTTAAAAGGAGAACTATGACATGAGTGATTTCCACTCACCTCATAGTTCTAAGCCGACCTGTGACAATGAGACTGTCACAGGTCGGCTCAGTAGATGGGGAGGTGAGCGAACATATACCGGGTTCCCTCACCTCTCGATCACTGGTAGGAATGTTACCAGGGACCCCCGATGCACACCCTGTCACACCAGACCCTTTAGATCTAGTAGGACATTTCTTAGGGGAAGCCTCCTAAAATCCCATACCAGACCCCTAAGCCGAGGACTGGCATGGCAGAGCAGGAAAGAGGGGGGGTGGGGGATAAGCAAGCACCCCCCGCTCCTGCATACCAGGCCACATTCCCTTGACATTGGGAGGGTGCACCTTGTCCCCATGACGATGAGGACAAGGGCCTCTT